TTGTGTCTGTTTTCATTTGGTGAGTATTCATGATGAGGGCCAGGGGCGGCCCTCGGTCTAATGGGGCACAGATTACTGCATACCGGTGAGAAATTAATCTTTTTCCCCTTTGGAGGGGGTACTGCTGAGATGTGATAATTCTGGTTGTACCAAAAATTCTGGGGTTTTTCTTGATGATTCTGTAGGTTGTCAGTACCAGGTCATCTAAACAGCATTGATCCTATAAAGGATATTAAAGCTTTTGTTTGTATCCATTAGAATCTGCCAGCTCAACTTCACAATAACAAATGTGTCTCTTTAATATGTACATATACCAAAAAAAAAAAAAAGTATCAGTTAAAAGGAGCTGAAATGACATTTTTTGTTATTACATGTAGTCTGGCAACACGCAGTGATAGACAGCTTCTAAAAGGGTCTCTAGAATCCCTGTCTCCTGCTATTGTAAAAGAAAAATTGCACAGGATGTTTCTTCAAAGTGGCAAGAAAGATTTTCTTCAAGACTATTGCAGTAAGGGAGAGAAATTGAGCTCAATTTTGCTGAAACAAAAAATTCGTAGAGATTTTCGGTCCTGTGGAAAACTAGCTGAAAACTATCGGAGGATGTGGGGGGAGGTTGCTCAGGGTGGTGAAGTCATCTACGTTGGCTGATTGGTAAGAGTTAGACTCCTCCTGCCCTTGTGCGGAGACTGGGAGCTGGGGGTCCTGTCTTCCTTGGTGATTTAGTTTCCAAAGGAGGGCTCCAAGATGCCTGAAAAAGACTTTCCTGGGTGTTGAGACTGGCAGGATCCTGGCAGAAGGTGCTGGTCTCAAGTGAAAGTCACTCAGTCGTGTCCGACTCTTGGCAACTGTACAGTCCATGGAATTCTCCAGGCCGGAATACTGGAGTGGGTAGCCTTTCCCTTCTCCAGGGGATCTTCCCAACCAGGGGGTCAAACCCAGGTCTTCTACATTGCAGGCAGATTCTTTATCAGCTGAGCTACCAGGGAAGCCGGCTGATCTCAAAGGGCCACGGGAAGAAATTGCAATTCCAGTTTTCTGAAGCGAATGTCTTAAGAAAAGGTAGTCAGGAAGCAATCTGTCCAAAGTTTGGACGAGTTGAGGGGCACATTCACGGTCTTTTGGATCCGTGTCGTGTCTTTCTATCACCCGTTCTTCTCAAGGGTCATCCACGTCTAGTAACTTGCCGCTTACACATAGAATAGAGCGGGTGTGATGGATGCCACTCCGAGATGAAATTGTCCAGAACTGTGACTTCTATCTTGGGTGCACGATCTTTCTATGGATTGTGCTGGCTTGCTCTAAGGAACCCAGCTGCCGTGTTGGGAGCTGCCCTCTGGAGAAGTCCATGTAGATAAAGAAAAAAGGGCATCTTTGGTTCAATGGCCGGTGAGGCGTAAGCATGGCACACAGGCATCTGAGTGAGGTCGCGAGCATGTCTACGCTCAGCTGAGCCTTAACGTGATCACAGCCCCTGCAGACTCTGTGGTTACACCTTGCCTAGAATCTGTGAGGTAATAAATGCTTGTTGCTAATAAGTGTTTGAAAGCCGAGCCCTTCCTTCTGTAGCATTTGCCATGTAACAGTATATGACTTAACACACACAACGGGATTCCCTAGTAGCTCAGACAGTCAAGAGTCTGCCTGCGGTGCTGGAGACCCAGGTTCGATCCCTGGGTCGGGAAGATCCCAAGGAGGAGGAAATGGCAGCCCACTCTAGGATTCTTGCCTGGAGAATCCCCTGGACAGAGGAGCGTGGCGGGCTACAGTCCGTGGGGTTGCAGAAGAGTCGGACACGACTGAGCAACTTTACTTCAACATACACACATGCACAATATCTATCACATCATAAATACTGTGCCTATTAAATTCTGTGTGTTTATGTGTGTAGATCTGTGTGTGAGGAGGCCTGAAGGCAGCAATCTCCAGTGGAAACTGTAAAATCTTTCATGAGAGGGTAGAACGTGTAGGACTCCCAGATGGACTGAATACGAGGTGAGAGGCTAAACCAAGGAAGGCTTGTGAGCAGCTTGAGCAAGGGGGAGAATGGATAATTGTGCTATTTATGGACATGGGGAAAAAGTAGAGTGACTATTTCCATTTTTGGACTTCTAAGTGAATACGTTAGAGAATTGAGTGACCAAGCTGGCCATCAGGACATTTTCCAGGAATATACCAAGCAAAGCAGGTATGAGCCGTGCACACAGAAAAATGATGAAATAATGCTCAGCAATATAGATAGACAAATGGAATGACATGAGTTGATTAATGGATGGTGTTGTTGTGGCTTAGTTGCTAAGTCATGTGCAACTCTTTTGTGACCCCGTGGACCGTAGCCCGCCAGGCTCCTCTGTCCATGGGATTTCCCAGGCAAGAATCCTGGAGTGGGTTGCCACTTCCTCCTCCAGGGGATCGTCCTGACCTAGGGATCAAACCCGTGTCTCCTGCTTGGCAAGTGAATTCTTTACCAGTGAGCCTCCTGAAGTCCTGTTTGATGGATAGACTTTATGATAATAATATTGATTCTCAAGAAAGAGGTGATAATGTTCAGAGAAGATTTAATAAAAATCCTAGTAAATGTATTTTGTTTTGTTGGTGTTTGGCAAGCATGGTTAGGTTTATGAATAATAGCAGTCTTTGCAGAATAACAATGAAAATTCTCAAAAATAAGAACATAATAAAGGGTCCTTTTGTAACTGAAAAAATCAAGATTTTTGCAAAGTGTTGCAATAAAATCCTGGATTCACCATGAATTTAAAACTTAAAGGTGCACAGAAGAATAGATGACAATATCTGCTATCTCATATTAATAGCTATTCATCTGTTTTTCTATCTCTAACCATGTATCTGGGCTTCCCGGGTGGCTCAGTGATAAAGAATCTGCCTACCGATGCAGAAAATGCAGGAGACAGGAGTTCCATCCCTGCTTCAGAAAGATCCCCTGGAGGAGGAAATGGCAACCCACTCCAGTATTCTTGCCTGGACAGTCCCATGGGCAGAGGTGCCTGGCGGGCTACAGTCCACGGGGCCGCAAAGAGTCAGACACAATGAAGTAACTGAACATGCACACAAGCACACAGCATGTATCTATATCAGACCAAGAGATTACTGTTTTGGATATAAAAGTCCAGTAAGTCAATTGGAAAAGAAAGACAGCCAACGGAAAAATGATTAAAAACCTTGCATGGAAAATTCATCACAGTATGTAAATTAGCAATAACGACAGTCAGATGGAATGGCAATAAAACTTGAATAGGTGCTCAAGCTCAAGCTCAGTGGTATTGCGGAAAATGCAATTAAAAAGAAAAGAGACAAACATGTTTACTTCCATCAGAGTGGCAAAATCTCTGAACCTGGGAACACTGTATTAGCAAGACCAGTGTGCGTGAGCTGTTTGCCGGGGATGTGGCAACAGTGCCTGCCTAGAGAAGTTGACAGGTGCCCAAAGACACAGTCAGGGGAGGGGGTGTCTGACAAGGTGATGGCATTTCCAAGCAGACCCGAGGCACCATCTTTGCCCTCATGGTGGCTGGATTATTCAACCAGTACAGGATTAACCGTCTTCTGTAGTTATGGTGATGCTCATAACCAGAGGGTCAGCGTGGAGGCTGGGTCAGAGCTCTCAGAGGACAGACGTCACACACAGAAGTGAGGAGGTGGTAGAGAGATCTGCTCAAAGATTCTGACATTTTTCGTTACTGTCAAGGGTATTAAGTAAAGGGTCAGGAGTCAGAAAAGCTTTTAAAGTCTCAGAATCTTTTGTCTTACAGTACAGCACAGCTTCATGGCAAATAGATGGGGAAACAGTGGAAACAATCACAGACTTTATTTTGGTGGGGGCCGGGGGGCGGGGTGCTCCAAAATCACTGCAGATGGTAACTGCAGCCATGAAATTAAAAGACGCTTACTCCTTGGAAAAAAAGCTATGACCAACCTAGACAGCATATTAAAAAGCAGAGACATTACTTTGCCAACAAAGGTCCATCTAGTCAAGGCTATGGTTTTTCCAGTGGTCATGTATGGATGTGAGAGTTGGACCATTAAAAAAGCTGAGCGCTGAAGAATTGATGCTTTTGAACTGTGGTGTTGGAGAAGACTCTTGAGAGTCCCTTGGACTGCAAGGAGATCCAACCAGTCCATCCTAAAGGAGATCAGTCCTGAATATTCATTGGAAGGACTCATGCTGAAGCTGAAACTCCAATACTATGGCCACCTGATGCGAAGAACGGACTCATTGGAAAAGACCCTCATGCTGGGAAAGATTGAGGACAGCAGGCAGTGATGACAAAGGATGAGATGGTTGGATGGCATCACTGACTCAATGGACATGAATTTGGATAAACTCCAGGAGATGGTGATGGACAGGGAAGCCTGCCGTGCTGCAATCCATGGGGTCGAAAGAGTCAGACACGACCGAGTGACTGAACTGAACTGAACCAACAGCACAGGGAACTCTGCTCAATGTTCAGTTCAAGTCAGCTGCTCAGTCGTGTCCGACCCTTTGTGACCCCATGGACTGCCGCACACCAGACCTCCTTGTCTATCACCAGCTCCCAGAGTTTACCCAAACTCATGTCCATTGAGTCGGTGAGGCCATCCAACCACCTCATCCTCTGTCGTCCCCTTCTTCTCCTACCTTCAATCTTTCCCAGCATCAGGGTCTTTTCCAATGAGTCCGTTCTTCACATGAGGTGGCCAAAGGATTGGAGTTTCAGCTTCAGCATCAGTCCTTCCAATGAACATTCAGGACTGATCTCCTTTAGGATGGACTGGCTGGATCTCCTTGCAGTCCAAGGGACTCTCAAGAGTCTTCTCCAGCACCATGGTCCAAAAGCATCCATTCTTGGGTGCTCAGCTTTCCTTATAGTAACCCCGTGATTAATGAAGTGCTGTTCGCTGGGGCAGGATGCCGTGTCCTTTGTGTCCACTTGGGCCGACAAAGAGCACGCCTTCCGCCTCAGGTGTGTGTGTGAAGGGGGGCCCAGAGACCATCCTTGACTCACTTCCATCATCCACATCCAGACCCCCTCGCCCACCCTCACTCTGCACGTGGGTTTGGAGGTCCTGAAGCGCCTTACCCATGCTGACTGCTCCGCTGGACACTCTGGCTCCCTGCCTCCTGAGTTCTTCTAAACAAGTAACCCTGGCTGTCTGTAGTCAGATCTGTTTCTGCGAGGGCTTTCCCTCAACTGAAGTTGTCTTTCGTCAGCACAGTGCTCGTGCTGTAAGATTATGCCCAGGACCTGAACCATGTCATTGTGCCGGTAGCTTCCAGAACCTTGAAGGCTGACATGCCTGCATGTACCATGGGCCCCAGAGCGCTGGGGAGCAGCACTCCCTGGGACGCATCCTCCGCAGAAGACACATGCAAATTTTAAAACAATTTTTTTAAGTTTTTTTATTTTGCATTGGAGTATAGCCGATTAGCAGTCTTGTGATAGCTTCAGGCAGACAGCAAAGGGTCTCAGCCATACATGCACATATATCCCTTCTCCCCCAAACTCCCCTCCCATCCAGGCTGCCACATGACATTGAGCAGACTTCCCTGTGCTGTCCAACAGGTCCTTGCTGGTTCTCCATGTTAAACACAGCCGTGTGTCCATGTCCATCCCAAGCTCCCTAACTATCCCTTCCCCCATCCTTCCCCCTGGTGACCATCAGGTTATCACAGAGTATTGAGCAGACTTCCCTGTGCTGGCCAGCAGGTCCTTGCTGGTTCTCCATGTTAAACACAGCAGCCTGTTCACGTCCATCCGAGACTCCCTGACTGTCCCTTCCCGCATCCTTCCCCCTGGGAACCATTAGGTTATTACAGAGTCTTGAGCAGAGTTCCCTGGGCTGGACAGCAGGTCCTTGCTGGTTCTCCATGTTAAACACAGCAGCGTGTCCATGTCCATCCCACACTCCCTGACTGTCCCTTCCCCCATCCTTCCCCCTGGGAACCATCAGGTTATTACAGAGTCTTGAGCAGAGTTCCCTGGGCTGGCCAGCAGGCCCTTGCTGGTTCTCCATGTTAAACACAGCAGCGTGTCCACGTCCATCCGAGACTCCCTGACTGTCCCTTCCCCCATCCTTCCCCCTGGTGACCATCAGGTTATCACAGAGTATTGAGCAGACTTCCCTGTGCTGGCCAGCAGGTCCTTGCTGGTTCTCCATGTTAAACACAGCAGCGTGTCCACGTCCATCCCAGACTCCCTGACTGCCCCTTCCCCCATCCTTCCCCCTGGTGACCATCAGGTTATCACAGAGTATTGAGCAGACTTCCCTGTGCTGGCCAGCAGGTCCTTGCTGGTTCTCCATGTTAAACACAGCAGCATGTCCATGTCCATCCCAGACTCCCTGACTGTCCCTTCCCCCATCCTTCCCCCTGGTGACCATCAGGTTATCACAGAGTATTGAGCAGAGTTCCCTGTGCTGGCCAGCAGGTCCTTGCTGGTTCTCCATGTTAAACACAGCAGCGTGTCCATGTCCATCCCAGACTCCCTGACCATCCCTTCCCCCATCCTTCCCCCTGGGAACCATAACGTTATTACAGAGTCTTGAGCAGAGTTCCCTGAGCTGGACAGCAGGTCCTTGCTGGTTCTCCATGGTAAATACAGCACTGCGTACGCATCCACCCCCAACTCCCTAACTGTCCCTTCTCCCCAGACAGATGCAGCTTGCTGTATAATATCCCGGCTTCCTCGCCCCTTGGGTGAGATAATTCCAGCACTGGCATTTCACCCCAGCCTCCACAGTTTGCTCACGGGATTAAATTCCAGTTGTGATTCATGATAGCTCGCTTACTGGCATCCTTTTAGTGGGCTGCCTTCCCTCCCGTAGCTTCCCTCTCCTCTCCCCAGTGAGTCCCTCCAAACAGACCACTCACGGTCGAAGCTCAGCTTTGGGATTTGTTTCTTTGAGAACCCCGTTTAAAAAGGTCTAACACTACAGTCCTCTCCAAGTGCTCTCTTTCTTCATCAGCCCTTATCTGAACTGTGACTGTGTGGTTATCTCTGGATTCCAAGCCTGTCTCCCTGCATGCGTGTCGGGCATCTATGCGTGCGTTTCTGCTTAACATGATGCTTCACAGAAGCAGGTGCACAATAAGTAGTTATTTGGAAAACAGATGAATGAATTTAGTGAAATCTGAATCTGCGAATCCCAGCAGGCTGAAACTTAAAGGCCAAAGTCTTGAGAAGTCTAGTCGGAAAAGAGAAGATGGTAACCCAAGGTCGACCACATTCTTGGCAGCGGGTGAGAACAGGATGAAATGAAGTCTTTATAGTGAGGGCTTGAGGATGAAAGAGCAGATAAAAACCGTTTCCAGATCCCTGCTTCAGAGGAGCATCATTCCACCCTCTTTTGCTTGTTTTTCATCAGAAGATTTGCCGTTGAATCCAAGGATAATGTGTTGAAACTCAAAATAAGCCCACAGTTAGAAATAGTACTACAGGGCTCACTCCCGTGGCCAGGTGAAAATTCCTGGTGTCACTGATTCTAAGAGTGTTAGAAATATTCTGGAAAATTTTAGGAAAAATCCAGACTCGTGTGCTGGTATCTTTTCTTATTAAAGATACTTGGACTCTGAAAACAAAAGGATGGACCCAGGTCTGAAAAATGACCATAATAGACCTTTCATTAGGTTTGAGATATTTTAGCTAGCTTCCCTGAACCATGACTTTTTTCTTAGCTTTTATTATTGTCATTATTATTAATTATTGAAAGTCCAATTTTCTGTATGCTTTCCTGTCGAACGGAGGAACCATAATTTACTTAGCAATGCCTTAACTTTCTGTGTTTCCGTTCTTTCTAATGTTTGCTTAGAATTGTTTGCTTATAATCTTTGCTATTATAAACCATATTCTTACAAGAATCTCTGTGTACAAGATTTTTCTGTATTTTTGTCTTCTTTCCTTAAAGAAAAATCCTCAAAAAATTTTTTTCTTCCTCTTAGAGTTTCTTTAACTCTAATTCTGATCTTGCAAAGCTTTGATCTTCTAGAGAAGTCCCATGACACTTGGATAATACTTACATGAGTTTTTCTTCACCATGCAAGTATCGGTTCTATTGGTCCTGCTTTGTTGGAAGGTTAAGCCCCTGGTCATCTTCCTCTGGAGTTTATCCACAGTTCTAAATCCGTGCCCTTGTTCCATTTTGCATTTGATAAATCGGCCCAGATTCCAGCTCTTTTCTGCCTTTTGTATTGATCTCACCTCATGTACAGGGTTTCAGTTTTACATCGAGCCTTCAGCATTAACCTACCCTGGTTTTCTGCCTCATTCCTGCTGTGTCGTTTCCATAATTGACAGCTCTCATCTCTACACCCTGACCTGGGCTCAGATCCAGCAGTCATACCACTTCCTTCCCCGGAGGACCCAAATCTCAGGTTGTACACAGGCCTTCAGATGAAGGAGGGTTTCTTTGAAAATTTCAAAATCTAAACAGAATACCTACTTTTTAAAACACAAATTGTGTCCCATTTAATTTTGTTGGAATGAATTGGGGAAGCATAGGGCAATAAAGTAGGTATATGATATTTAGGGGTCCAATTTTTAAGCGTATGATCATTGAAAAGGAATTTTATATACCAGAAATTTAAATTATCTATATCTTCTATGAGGGCTTCCGAGGTGGCACTAGTCGTAATGAATCTGACTGTCAGTGCAGGAGAATAAGAGACCTGGGTTCCATCCCTGGGTGGGGAGGATCCCCTGGGGGAGGGCATGGCAACCCACTCCAGTGTTCTTGCCTGGAGAATCCCATGGACAGAGAAGCCTGGTGGGCTACAGCCCATAGATAGGGTTGTAAAGAGTTGGACACATCTTACATGACTTAGTATACACACAGCACATATTTTTTAGAATTTAAAGTTGATGCTAGTTTGACTATTTTTTTTTTAAACTCTATTTACTCTGCCAGTAGAAGGTGTAAAATAAGCATGGAGCCACGGACTTTATTTTACAAAGTAATGTTCGCCTTCATTGTTTAAAATATATATACTCAGAAAATGAATTATTTGCTTTTGAAGTGAATGCAGAGTGAGTGTGACCGGTCATTATGGAGTCATCTAATAAGCCAAGATAATCGTAAATCTCTTTCCCCAGGTACGCTGTAAACAAAGGCATTGTATTACGGTAGCTGGTTGTCATGGCTACCAGATTTTTAGAATGCTCTTAAATGACTTAGTGTGAGTTGTCCTCGGCAAGCTTATCCAAGAGACCCTTTTCACGCCTAAAGAAGATCGTGACTCATTAGAGCCGGTAGAACAGAGACAATCAACTCTAAATTTGAGTCATGCCCCGTGTTTTGAAGTAAATATTTATTTCATAGCTCTGAAGACAAGACCATGTTTGCCGATGAAGCACACAGGTGCTCGGCAAACCACATCATCTTATCCTTCCTTACCGCTGATTCTCTGTGAGTCGGGGGGCACGCACGACATCACCTGCAAAGTCCCGAGAGCTGGGTCTGTTCCCTGATGTCCCTGAACTCATGCAAACGTCTGAATGTTTGACCTCAGTGAGGTTTGTCCCAGCGAGTGGGAAGAACGCAGCAGTCCCAGCCCACATGCTCTGTGTCTTTACGTCTCCCCCGGGAGGGTCGTTTAGTCGCTCAGCTGTGTCCGAATCTCTGAGACCCCACGGACTGCAGCACGCCAGGCTTCCCTGTCCATCACCAGCTCCCAGAGTTTGCTCAGACTCATGTCCGTCGAGTCAGTGATGCCATCTACACCAAAACCTACTTCTGTATCCACACCTATTTCTGATGCTATCTTTTTCATTATCTGTGTCTATGGCTGTAACTTTTCAACTAGGGACTGCCATTCCCTTCTCCAGGGGGTCTTTCCAACCCAGGGATTTTCCCAGTGCAGGTCTTCTGGATTGGAGGAAGATTCTTTTATAGTCTGAGCCACCAAGAAGTCCATATTTATTCTACATTTATTCATACACCTAAAGATACACTAGGGGCTTCCCTGGTGGCTCGGTGGTAAAGAGTCTGCCTGCGATGTAGCAGATCCAGGTTCGACCCCTGTGTCGGGAAGATCCCCTGGAGAAGGAAATGGCAACCCACTCCAGTGTTCTGGCCTGGAGAATCCCATG